TGCTCCGGGTCCTTCAGGAGGGCCACAGGATGATACTGGTGGCCCCGTATTGGCCGGGGAGGACATGGTTTCCCTTGCTGCTCAGGCTCTGCTGCGGCTTGGCGAGACCCCTTCCCTCCAGGCGGGATCTCCTGTCTCAACTGGGGGGCCGGCTTCTCCATCCGGACCCCGGCCGCCTGCGGCTTTGGGTGTGGCACCTCCGGGGACTGGTTTAGCGTTTACAGCCTATACTGGGGAGGTTGGCCGCACCATGTGCAATGCCCGGGCTCTGTCCACACGCCGGCTGTATTCCTGACGGCTCGGGTGTGTCTATGTGGCCGGATGTGTCCTTTGTCCCGAAGGTGTCTTCTGGTCGGTATGACGGGCCCCTTCAGTTGGCCCGTTTTGGTTCTGGTGAGCCCCCTGACCCTCTGTGCCCTGTTCGTGCACTGGAGGTGTACATTCGCTCCACGGCCTCGATAAGGCGTTCAGACGCCCTGTTTGTCTGCTGCGCCGGCCCTCGCGTTGGTCGGGCTCTGTCCAAGCAGCGTCTCTCCCACTGGGTCGTGGGGGTTGTGACAGAGGCCTATGCCTTGCGGGGGCTGCCGTTACCGCCTGGGGTGAGGTGCCATTCTACGAGGGGCATGTCAACTTCGTGGGCTGCTGTGAGTGGTGTGTCGTTGGACGTCATCTGTGCGGCGGCGTCATGGTCGTCCCCAAGCACCTTCGCCAGGTTTTATCGGGTTAATGTTGCCGCCCCGCACCCCCTGCAGGGGGTTCTGTGGCGCCGCTCATCCGTTTCACAGTAAGGTGAGGTTCTGGTTGGTTTCCTCGTGACCTTGCTGATATTCGTCATCCAGTGCTTAAGCACCGCCTCTGGCGGTCAGGAAGGATGAAATAGAACGAGAGTTACGACTGTAACTACGGTTCTATGAATCCTGGATGACCGCCAGAGCGCCCGGTCCCTCGGAATCCTTGTGCAAGAAAGGTTCTAGGGACTGTGCTTCCGGTGTCACGTGGCTTTATAGACTCTCGCGTGAGCTACCGGAGGTCACGGGTGACTTTGTTGTTATTTGACTCTCGATCTGTGCATGCGCGAGGATGATCATCCAGTGCTTAAGCACCGCCTCTGGCGGTCATCCAGGATTCATAGAACCGTAGTTACAGTCGTAACTCTCGTTTATGGAGGACACACTCGTTTTGTTTTACTTTTTAAAACTCATTGGACTCATTTCCAAACGGAGGATTACATATCTACGCTCAAACTATTATCTGGACTTAAACACGGAACTGGTCTGAACCGAAGTGGACTGTGCAGGTCATTTATAAGGTAAGACCCATAACTCATAGTTTTGCGTTTTGTATGAACAAACAATGCGGCCATGAAACATATTCTGCTGTAGCCAAACAAAGTGTCCACTTGATTTATATGATATATATATATATATATATATATATATATATATATGATATATATATATGATATATATATATATATATATATATATATCATATATATATCATATATATATATATCATATATATATCATATATATATATGATATATATATATATGATATATATATATATGATATATATATATGATATATATATATATATATGATATATATATATCATATATATATATATATATATCATATATGATAATATATATATATATATATATATATATATATATATATATATATATCATATATGATATATATATATATATATATCATATATATATATATATATATATATGATATATATATATATCATATATATATATATCATATATATATCATATATATATATATTCATATATATGTTCATCTGATTGGGCTGAAGTCAGTGCTTCACCGGTGTTTCCACATTCACAGTGGCGGGTGTTTGTGTTTAGTGCTTACAGCACAGAGAGAGATGGAGAGTGAACAGGACTTCAGCAGCAAAACAGCCTTTTCTAGATGGAAATATTGGCACTATTTCAGACTCACTGAGGTTAAAGGTAAAAATGCGCATGTCGGGTGCACATTATGTTCCAGAACAAAACAAAAAAGTAACGCAATAGTTACTTTTACAGGTAACTAGTTACTTTAATAGTGGAGTAACTCCGTTAGTAACTCAGTTACTTTTTGGGAGAAGTAACTAGTAACTATAACTAATTACTTTTTCAAAGTAACGTGCCCAACACTGGTTGTAGTCAAAGTGTGTGGTGGAGGAACAGGAGCGTATGTTGTTGTGGTCAGAGTGTGCGGAGGAGGAGCAGGAGAAGGAGCCTATGTTGTCAGTGTGTGGAGGCATGGCAAAAACGTTATTTGATGAGAAAAAAATACAACATATATTGACTCCGCCTCATAGCCATTTTGGCGCATTTTGCCGTAATCTCACAATTAGAAAAAGAAGACTCCTTTTGGTTCAGTCTTTTGAGTTCCTCTGCCATTTTGCCACAGGACGAAAGAGCCATGTCAGCTAAAAAGACCGCGACCAATCGCAATGCAAAGCACCATAACAGTTTGTGCGTGCGTGTGTGCGTGCGACGCTGCATTGGAGCGAGGACACTCGGCTGTGTGCGTGCTGATCTCTTCACGCACAGCGGGAGGCGGTGCTGAATTCATGTCAAAGATTATAACAGGGAAAACTTTCCTCAGATCTGGGAAAAAGGTGTCAGGGCAGGGCCTCGCGTTTCAAGTTCGCACAAGGCCTTGCACCCCCCTTGCGACGGGCCTGCACACATGGTACAGGTGTGTGAAAGTATTCATACCCCAGGAACAAACACATGGTACAGGTGTGTGAAAGTATTCATACCCCAGGAACCAAGCCCCGGTGATCCAAGATGGCGCCCTATTCAAATGAATGGTCCCTGTCACTCCCGTATTCGTCCCGGAAACCGGACTCGTACGGAAGTTCAGTTTGCGCATGTCAAAAAGTTTAATATGTCCTTAAGTGTTTAGGCGTCTGATTAAGATGGTTAAGTTTAGGGTTAAGGCTGGGTTGGGGTTATTTTATGGGAATGGCTGGTTAAGTTTAGGCATGAATAGGTCGTTTTTTATATTTACTTCCGCTTCCGTCCAGATTCCGTGACGTAATCTACTGCTGCGTATGCACATTGGATCAAACTGAACTTCCGGACGAATCCGGTTTCCGGGACGAATTCCGGGAGTGACAGTGCTCAGTGGCGCTTTGTGACGGCATGGGGGCTGAAAGATTAGCGGAAGTCGCCTGGAACTCTCAAAGATCTATGGGAAACTCTCAAAGATCTATGGGAAACTCTCAAAGATCTATGGGAAACTCTCAAAGATCTATGGGAAACTCTCAAAGATCTATGGGAAACTCTCAAAGATCTATGGGAAACTCTCAAAGATCTATGGGAAACTCTCAAAGATCTATGGGAAACTCTCAAAGATCTATGGGAAACTCTCAAAGATCTATGGGAAACTCGCAAAGATCTTTGGGAAACTCACAAAGATCTATGGGAAACTCGCCTGTATTTGGGCATCGTCTGGTCCTCCCGGTTCTGTGCAGTGGATGATCTCCCATAATGCTTTGTGTCAAACACGCGTGTGTGGGTCTCACACCAGGTCTCACGCACGTGCACAGAGGGGCTCGGCCGCGCTCTGACCAATCAGAGCAGCTCATCAGAGCGGGAGTTAGAGCGAGAGCCAGACGAGCAGAGTTTTTGGCACTAAAGTGTGGATTTAAACAAAACCGAAGGATTTAAGAAGAAAAAAAGTTCAGGATGACAAGGGACACTAAAATCCACACAAAATCCGACCTTTATGAAAGCTGTAGGTTCTCTGTCAGCTGAGGTCGAGCTGTTTTAATATGCATTGAGTTCTATGGGGAAAATGTCTGGGTAGCCCGCTGAATTTAGTCTGGTTCAGTCTGGTTCAGTCTGCAGTACCGCGAGAATCCCCCGAGCACATGAGTTATTCAGCTACAAGCTGTAACACCCTATCCAGTTATTATCATAGATCCATGCTTGTGCTCAGTAGTTCATGGGACTTCATGGAGACCAGGAGATTAGCAGAACTCGCCTGTATTTGGGCATCGTCTGGTCCTCCCGGTTCTGTGCAGTGGATGATCTCCCATAATGCATTGCACCAAACGTGCGTGTGTGGCTTTCATGCACATGCACAGAGGGGCTCGGCCGCGCTCCGACCAATCAGAGCTGATCATCAGAACAGCAGCAGAGCGGAGTCAGAGCGGGAAGGCAAGGAGCAGAGTTTGTGGCAGTAAAGTGTGGATTTAAAGAAAACAGAAGGATTTAAGAAGAAAAAAGTTCAGGGTGACAAGGGACACTAAAATCCCCACAAAATCAGACCTTTATGAAAACTGTAGGATCTGTCAGGTTCTCTGGGTAGCACGGGTGAATTTAGTCTGCAGTACGACAGCGCCCCCTGTGCCCATGGGTGGGACAGCTCTAAGCTAGTAATACCCTATCAAGTTATTATTATAGATCCATGCCAGGAACACACACATGGTGCGTGTGTGATTCATCTGCACCTGTGATTAGTGTTGTCCGTGTACGAGCTGTGAGTTTGGGAAAACAGCCGTGTCTTGGTAGATTTGTTTTTTTATTCCCAAAGTAGTTCTTTTGTTTTATTTCTTTTATTATTCACAATCATAAAGTGACACAGAATACAGACAACAGTGATAATACATTGTTGATTACAATACAATAAACGGCAATGGTACAGCTGGGAAAGTTAGGGTAGGCTAAGTGTGTGTGTGTGTGCATGTGTGTGTGTGTGTGTGTGTGTGTGTGTGTGTGTGCATGTGTGTGTGTGTGTGCGTGTGTGTGTGTGTGTGCGTGCGTGCGTGTGTGTGCGTGTGTGTGTGTGTGCGTGTGTGTGTGTGTTCCCAAAGTAGTTTTTTAGTAGTAGCAGTAATAGCAGCAGTAGCAGTAGTAGTAGTAGTATCAGCAGCAGTGGTAGCAGAGTAGTATAAAAGCAGTAGTACCTGGTGAGAGTACTGCAGTAGAGTACTAGACGTCTGGACTATGGTCTCGGCTGCAGACTTCACTTTGGGTCTGGACTCAGCACCAACAGAGACCTGGGCCAGTGCCGAGCTGAGGTCTGAGAGGACGACAGAGGCCTTCACCTGAGAACAGAGAAGTAAGGATACTCGTAGTAGTAGTAGTAGTAGTAGTAGCAGTAGTAGCAGTAGCAGTAGTAGTAGCAGTAGTAGTAGTAGCAGTAGTAGCAGTAGTAGCAGTAGCAGTAGCAGTAGCATTAGTAGCAGTAGTAGTAGCAGTAGCAGTAGCAGTAGTAGTAGCAGTAGTAGCACTAGTAGTAGGGTAGTAGTAAAAGTAGTAGTACTAACCAGTGCAGTGGTGGAGAGCTCTTCTCCGGCCTGGATCATAGAGTTCAGACCAGAGACCAGGTCTTGGATCTGGTCTGGACTATGAGCCAGTGAAGACTTCTCCAGCAGCAGGTCCAAAACCCTCTCACGAAACTGACACATGACAATACATGTTAGGGTTAGGTCTGGTCCATCTCTGGTCTCTCCCTGGTCTCTCTATGGTTTCTCTCTGGTCTCTCTCTATGGTCTCTGGTCTCTCTCTATGGTCTCTGGTCTCTCGCTGGTCTCTCTCTGGTCTCTCTCTGGTCTCTCTCTCTTGTCTCTCTCTATGGTCTCTGGTCTCTCTCGCTGGTCTCTCTCTGGTCTCTCTCTGGTCTCTCTCTTGTCTCTCTCTAGGGTCTCTGTTCTCTCTCTGGTCTCTCTCTTGTCTCTCTCTATGGTCTCTGGTCTCTCTCTGGTCTCTCTCTGGTCTCTCTCTTGTCTCTCTCTAGGGTCTCTGTTCTCTCTCTTGTCTCTCTCTATGGTCTCTGGTCTCTCTCTCTGGTCTCCTTCCAGTCTCACCTCGGTCCTCTGCTCCAGGGATGCCCCCTCTTTCTGTGTCTTCAGCAGATCCCCCACAGACTGGACCAGAGTCCCCAGAGCCTCAGGACTGAGCAGGGACTGGGTCTGGATCAGGTCTAAAGAGGTCTGCAGAGAGTCCAAGACCAAGTCCAGAGACGAAGAGTCCACAGGGAGCCCTTTCACCTGAGGCAACATCAACATGATTCTATAAAGGCTTTATTTTCAACACAAAAGCTAATCTGTCAGTGCCCATGGGGGGGCGCCACTGAGCACAAGCCATAGATTAGAATATGCCGCCATCTTGGATCGGGGGCTGGGGTTTTGGGGTCACCTGAGCGGAGGTGAAGGCTGTCGCCGTGTAGTCACTGCTCGCAGCCGTCACGGTTACAGACACCATCCAGTTCAGAGCAGCGTCCCCCAGTGGCAGGAAGAGGGAAGTGACCGGGTCAGAACCACACCCCAGCTCCCGACCTGAGGGAGGGGAAGAGTGAGACCAGAGAGAAAAGAGAGACCAGAGAGAAAAGAGAGACCAGAGAGAGACCGGAGAGAGACCGGAGAGAGACCAGAGAGAGACCAGAGAGAGACCGGAGAGAGACCAGAGAGAGACCAGAGAGAGACCGGAGAGAGACCAGAGAGAGACCGGAGAGAGACCGGAGAGAGACCGGAGAGAGACCGGAGAGAGACCGGAGAGAGACCGGAGAGAGACCAGAGAGAGACCGGAGAGAGACCGGAGAGACCAGAGAGAGACCAGAGGGAGACCGGAGGGAGACCGGAGAGAGACCGGAGAGATGGACCTCTGGGTCTTGAATGCCGATTACCTGAGGTGGTTCTGTAGCAGTACTTGCACTGGCCACAGGGGGGGCTGAAGCTGATGGTGAACAAGTCCAGGATGGTACCAGAGGGGGGCGACGTGGAGGCAGTGTGAGGGGGGAGGGAGGGACCTGGGGGGGGGCTGGTTGTGGTCCATGATGGAGGGGTGGTCGTGGTCCCTGAGGGGGAGGTGGTTGAGGTCCCTGAGGGGGGGGTGGTCGTGGTCCCTGAGGGAGGGGTAGTTGAGGTCCCTGAGGGAGGGGTGGTCGTGGTCCCTGAGGGAGGGGTAGTTGTGGTCGCTGAGGGAGGGATGGTCGTGGTCCCTGAGGGAGGGGTGGTCGTGGTCGCTGAGGGGGGGGTGGTTGAGGTCCCTGAGGGAGGGGTGGTCGTGGTCCCTGAGGGGGGGGTGGTTGTGGTCGCTGAGGGGGGGTCCACCCTGTAGGACACAGACTGAGGCACTGGATCCTCTGAAACCAAATGTAAAGACGATTTTTCATCATCTCTGAGCACCTACCCCTCTCTAATGGGGTGGCGGCTCTACTCCGAGCTCCTCACCGGTCGTCAGCACCACCCACAGGTCTCTCCCCTTCCCTCGGGCCTCGGTGATCCAGTACTGAAGCACCTGGAAGGTCGGGCCACGGTCCTGCTTCTGGATCAAAGGTTGGGTCTTCTCGTCCTCGTAGCAGCTGCGAGTCTCAGTCTGAGGAGAAACTGTGACATCACCGACTGACCAGTCTGAGACTCTCTCTGGTCTCTCTCTGGTCTCTCTCTGGTCTCTCTCTCTGGTCTCTCTCTCTGGTCTCTCTCTGGTCTAACTCTCGCTCTCTGATCTCTCTCTGGTCTCTTTCTTGTCTCTCTCTGGTCTCTCTCTCTGGTCTCTCTCTCTGGTCTCTCTCTCTGGTCTCTCTCTCCGGTCTCTCTCTCTGGTCTCTCTCTCTGGTCTCTCTCTGGTCTCTCTCTCTGGTCTCTCTCTGGTCTCTCTATCTGGTCTCTCTCTGGTCTCTCTCTGGTCTCTCTCTGGTCTCTCTCTCTGGTCTCTCTCTCTCTGGTCTCTCTCTCTGGTCCCTCTTTCTGGTCTCTCTCTCTGTTCTGTCTCCGGTTTCTCTCTGGTCTCTCTCTGGTCTCTCTCTCTGGTCTCTCTCCGGTCTCTCTCCGGTCTCTCTCTGGTCTCTCTCTGGGTCTCTCTCGGGTCTCTCTCTGGTCTCTCTCGGGTCTCTCTCTGGTCTCTCTCTGGTCTCTCTCTCCGGTCTCTCTCTGGTCTCTCTCTCTGGTCTCTCTCTGGTCTCTCTCTGGTCTCTCTCTGGTCTCTCTCTCTGGTCTCTCTCTCCGGTCTCTCTCTCCGGTCTCTCTCTGGTCTCTCTCTGGTCTCTCTCTCTGGTCTCTCTCTCCGGTCTCTCTCTCCGGTCTCTCTCTCCGGTCTCTCTCTGGTCTCTCTCTGGTCTCTCTCTGGTCTCTCTCTGGTCACTCTCTGGTCACTCTCTGGTCTTTCTCTGGTCTCTCTCTCTGGTCCCTCTTTCTGGTCTCTCTCTGGTCCCTCTTTCTGGTCTCTCTCTGGTGTCTCTCTCTGTTCTCTCTCTGGTCTCTCTCTCTGTTCTCTCTCTGGTCTCTCTCTCTGGTCTCTCTCTCTGGTCTCTCTCTCCGGTCTCTCTCTCCGGTCTCTCTGTCCGGTCTCTCTCTGGTCTCTCTCTCTGTTCTCTCTCCGGTCTCTCTCCGGTCTCTCTCTGGTCTCTCTCTGGTCTCTCTCTGGTCTTTCTCTGGTGTCTCTCTCTGGTGTCTCTCTCTGGTCTCTCTCTGGTCTCTCTCTGGTCTCTCTCTCTCTGGTGTCTCTCTCTGGTCTCTCTCTGG